ATTCCAGTACTACCTCCTCTATGGAACTTTCTTGAACTCTACTCTCCACTCACTTTCTACATCAGTAGTTCCCCAAACTGTCTAGCATCAGCTTTTTAACATTCAGGTTACTGGGCTCCAACTCAGAACTATGGAGTCTCCAGGGAGAGGGTCTGAGCATCTACGTTTTCAACAAGCAATATGGGGGAATCCGATGTGCACATACTTTGGGGAACCAGTGGTGTAGCCCCTTGCAGCTCAGAGGTGTGGTCTGTGAACCAGAAACGCTGGTCCCAATGGGAACTTTATAGACATGTGGCATCTTGGTCTGCACCCCTGACCTACAGAACGAGACTCTCCATTTTACTGAGACGCCCTGGTGAGGGCTCGCATGCACGTTAAAGTCTGAGGATCTGCTCTGGCCCATCTGTTTGACATAAGGAGTGTGCCTTAGAGCAGTGCTTCTCAAAGTGTCCCCAGAGCAGCCGCAGCAGCAGTGCCGGGGGCTTGTGGGAATGCAAATGCTTGAGCTGCACCTCAGACCTACTGAATCAGAAACTGTAGGGGCGGAGGCCAGGAATCCTATGCGAGCAGCCCTCTAGGTGTTCTGATGCCTGCTCAAGTGGGAGAGCCACTGCCTCAGGTGTGGAGATTACAGAGCACCTGCTCACACCGCAGCCTCTTTGATCCTGGGAATCCACAGCCCACACTCGTGTTAGGATAATCAAAGGGGAGCTGGGGCCTGGGGGAGCTCTGAAAGCTGTCAGTGCTGCAGGAGGCTAATGGGGCAAGACTCGCTCCTCCCTGCCCTCTCCTTAGACAAAGCTTTGAAGGCTGAGTTAATCCTATTCCTCAGTTTGAAGCTCCCTCAAGCGTCCTTCTGTTTATTTCATCTACGAGTTTTCACTTGCTTTTATCCCCGCTCTGCCCCGGGACCCTCCCCTCCCCACAGCACAACCATTCCATTCAGTTTGATCTGTTCCTGTAAGGAATGGACTGGTTAGTGCCTGTGGATTTACATTTCCCCTGCTGATGCTGTGCGACAGGACTCTGTCTGGGTCTTACTGTTTTCACTCAGCAGGGAATTTTCAAGGTCTCCCATCCTTGTTGAATGTACCCTGAGCCTGTTGTTTCTAAATTGGGCCAAGCATTTCTTAGGGTGCACCCACTCCTCTGGTGCCCTGTGATGAGACACCCAGGTGGCTTCCAACTCCTCAGCACCACCAAGGATGCTGCGGTTAGCACCCTTCTCTGTGTCTCTCCACGGACCTGTGTGAGTTCTCCCCATTTTGAGATGGAAAAACTTGAAATACTACCAGCCCATGTAACATGCCCAAGCCCTGGTCTGGGAAGTGGTAGACTTAGAAAGGATAGCATGGTGGTGAAGAGGGTGACTCTGGTGTCAGACACATCTGGTCAGATAATCTGGCACCAGTCCCTCTACCTGTCTGTGCCTCAGTTTTCTCATCCAGAAACTGAAACCTACATTACAGGTTTGTTATGAAGATTCAACAAATGAAAATCGCTTAGAGTCTTTAGCACACAGTAAGTGCTCCATTAATGTTCACTATAGTTTTGTCTCTCTTTCCAGAGACTGTCTTTTGACCTCTTTTACACTGACATTTTTCTTTTTTGGCCTTGCATATTTGGTAACTTTCCTTGCATGCCCCCTATCCAAGTTGACCTCCAGCAACAACTCTAGAGGTACACAGAAAAGGCCAGTGGCCTGGGCAAGGGCGAGCAGGCAAAGGCCAGGGCTGGTTTAGGAGTTTAGGTGTAGGAACTGGGACCAGAGGGGGTCGTCTGGGTCAGGAGTCAAGGATGAGTGGCAGTGGCGGGACAGGTGCACCATAGCAGGAGGTGGGGGCTCTGGATGTCCTACTGCTCTCTTGGCCTTGGGGGAGAACAGCAGAGCAGGGACCACACACAGCAAGTGCTGAATCTACGGCTCTTGCCCTTATGTGTTATATTTCGACCCAGTTTTAAAAGGGTGGGAGGAGGAGAGTCCTGTCACCCTGGAGGGAGGGTGGGGCTTGCTGCCAAGCTTTGCAGGCAGGGACTGTCTTGTGTATCCAGAAGGGGAATCGGGCACGGAGATGCCAGTACCTGAACTGCAGGTAGGAGAGGGGCCCACGGCCTGGGCCGTCCAGGGTGCACACACCGGCTGGGGCCAGCAGAGGGCGCTGTGCACCTCCACACAGCGCTGGCAGCGTCTGTGGGCAACTTATGGGTGGGGAGACCAGTTGTCCCGCTTCGCCTGCGGTTGATGGGTTCACCTGATTGCTGGGGGTTTTCAGTGCTAAAATTGGGAAAGACTCAGGCAAACTGAGAAGAGTTGGTTATCCTGGCTGGAACAAGCAACCTCTGAAGTGGTGCACACACGCATGCACACATACACGCATGTTCACATCAAACACACACGTCACAAAATGCACCCAGACTTGCATTACATACCTGCACACATGCACATCACGCCACAGGCATAACACACACTTGCACACATGCACATGTACCACTTGCAGGACACATTTGTAACACAAATGCAACACACACAACAAATACATATACACATGTGCCACACAAACATGCAAAACAAACACTACATCACAACACACACATGCACACACAGGCACAGTACATGTGCACATCACAACATATGTCACAACATATGCACAACATACACAACACAAGTATTACATCCATGCACACCACACACACAGCACACACACACCTGTGCACAGCACTCACACCACAAAATTCACCCACACTTGTACCACACACACGCAACACATTCACACACTTCATACCACATGCATAACTCACACAACACATTTGCACATGTACATATGCACCACTCATGCAATGCATTTATAACACGCGTGCAAACACATGCAATACACACAAGCACATCATACACATGCAGTGCAGTCACAACACAATACACTTGCATACATGCGCCACATAAACATGCAAAACAGACACCACATTGCAACACACACACACATGCATAAACAATGTATATGCACAGTACCCCAATACCTAATATACAAAGTACATACATGTACCATGCACATCACACACATACATTAACACACACCTACAATGTACATGCACACGTGACAACCCAACACACAACTCATACCTGTGCACATACACAACATATGCACACAGGCACCGGGCACGCAGGACCCATACAATGACTACACACACGTACTGCATACAACACATATACACAAAATCCATTTAATACGTGACACAGTACATGCACAACACACATGCATAAACACACATATATAATGCACCCACAGTATGCATATGCACAGCACATTGACACTATGCAGACACACACAGTCACACACGCACACCCCTTTGGTAGCCAGAGATCCTCTTGCTTTAGGTGATGTTTCTTACTGGCAAAATGAAGATATTCATTCTTGCTCTAGGCCAATGAAAAAATGTGTCACAAGAATTTGAAAAATATGTATTTGTTCATTCAGCAAACATTCTTTACTGTGTTGGGCACTGGGATGTACATTACAGTCTCAGTCCGACCTTCTGTGGGGCTCACAGCATGGCAGGGGAAGCAGGCACTGAACAAATAAATACATCAATGGCCACTTAGCTCTGGTTGTAGTAAAGTGCTATGAGTAAAACCTCCAGGGAGCAGAGAGAGCACAAAACCGGAACGGGGTGGGAGTTTCCTGTGAAGAGCTTTTTAAGGCAAGACCTGAAGTCGGAGTAGCAGGGTTGGGACCTGGTCGAGGTGAGTGGCCACCCAGGGCATGCGTTCGCTCCCAGGCACTGACCCTACATCTGCACAGCCCCGGAGAGGCTGAATAGCCAAGCTGAGAGGAACTGGATCAGGGATCCGAGGAGTACATGGCCCTGCTCCCAGCTGCTACTCCACACACCCTCTTACCTCGAGGGTTAGAGAATGTGTTTGCTTTTCAGGAAACCCTCTGGGCTGTAGAAGGAGCAATGGCTTATAGGAAAGGGACCTACATTACCCAAACTAACCAGCCGCATTTCTCCCTGGAGGCTGGTAACCAGGGCCCCCCTCCGCTGTGGCCAGCCATAGTGATAGTAAGGACAGGCAGGGGGCGTAGAGGATGAGCACATCATTGCCCTGGGCACGGCTCTGCATGTCATCCACACTTGCCAGATTACTGCCTGGGGCTGCCCTGCTGGGTTAGGCGGCAGTCAGCATGGCATTCAAGCTCTTGGGCACTGGAACTGTTTTCTTAGTCTAGTGGACATAGAGTGCTAGTTCAAGCAGACTGGAGCTTAAGTGCCTGAATTCAAATCCCTGCTTGGGCACCTACTAGCTGTGTGACTGTGGGCAAGTCACCTGGTCTCTCTGTGTCTTGTTTTCATACCTATAAAATAGACATGATGATAATACCAGCACCCATCCTACTGAGTTGTAAGGATTTCATGAGTTAATACATAAAAAGCTTTTAGATTAAATACAGGCACATGGCAAGAACCACATAAATGTTAACTGTGATTGTTATTTGGATCCAAAATAAAAGCGAACACTAACAATAATCCTAATATCAGAATGTATTGGAGTTAGAGTGTCAGAACTGAACGGAGCTTTGGACAACATCTGCTCCAACCTTACGTCTGTTATGCAGATATTGCCGTATGACCTGCCAGTCCAGAGACAGAAGGAACTAGAGCCCAGGATGGGGAAAAGAATAAACAAGCAAGATTCCTCTCTTTCTGTTCTCTAGGACAGTGGTTCTCACCTGGAGGGCTTGTTAAATACAGCTCACTGACCCCACCCTGATTTCTGGTTTCTGATTCAGCAGGTCTGGGATGGGGCCTGAGAATCTGCATTTCTAAGAAGGGCCCAGGGGTTGCCGATGCTGCTGGCCCAGGGCCCACACTTTGAGAAGCACTCCCTAAGGACAGGGTGGGTGGCGGAAGGGGCAGAGTGCAGAAAGTTGCATCTCCAAGTCAGCTGCCTCCTGGTCACGCCCCAGTACCAGGGAAGGAAAAGCAAGGACCTTACTTACAGCGGGTGCCGCACCTCGGGCAGGGCCCTCTGCAGAGGGATGTGGTCACTGAGTGCCTCGCTGAGGCTGCGTGGGGTCAGCTCCTCTTCTTCAGATACCTCCCCGTCCTCCTCCTTGGCCCCCCAGTCCCTCTCTGGGGCTTCCTTGTCCTGCCTCCTGCTCTGCTGCTTGATGAGCCGGTAGCTGCCACCTCTCCTGCCCTGGCTCTTGTTCCTTCTGGCCCTGGGTGAGGCCACAGCCACCAGCAGCTGATCCTCCCGCAGTGAGATAAAGGGCGGCAGGCCCTCCAAGGGGCCGTACTCTTCGCCCTCATCCTCAGCCTCCAGTACCCATTCCTGGGATTCCCCAAAGTCCAGGCGATACCCAGCCGCAGGGCTGTGCTTGCTGGCCAGGGCTGTGCCAGCCTGGTGAAGGGTGTGGGGGGGAGGATGCAGCCTCACCACCATCATCAGCATGCATCCCAGCATCAGCAACAGCAGGAGGAATTGAAGTCTGCAGGGTCCATGCCTGTATCGCTTCCTTAGGAGCATGTTGCTGGAACTCGCTCAATGCAACAGGTCATGTTCAAGTTCGCTGTCCCGCTCCAGGTTCCTGCAAGCTTGTAGCAGAACCTGGGTTGCTCCTTCCACCTGGAAGTTTTTTGCCAGTCACTTAACCTGCTGCTTGTTTTCCGTCTGACATTTGCCAACAGCGTGTGTGAGACCTGCTTCCTCTTATAATCAGAAAGCCACAGGACCCAAGTTCCACCCCAGGTCCTGTCTGGGTGGGTTTCTTTTTTGCCTTCTGAAAGCCCATTCACAGGGACTTTAAATTAAATTGCTTGCCCCCCCCCCCTTTACCCTGATTTTCTCCTTGGGAAAAAAATAATGATTCCATTCTGCTCAGGTGTTTGGTCCCATGTGTTTCTTTCCCCCTTCGCATGAAAGGTCAAGTTGCTACGAGATGTCTGGGGTGAGCTGGTGGGTTCTCAGTCAAGCAGAGCTGCCAGCCGTCCTTCTTTGGACACCTCACGTCAGGTCAGATCAACAGATGTAAAGCCGGCAGGCAGTGCCTGATTTCCTTTCACACATAGCTCCGCTCAGCCTAGAGCCCTCTGCCAGACATAACCGGAGCCAAGCGTGCAACTCACTCCTGGTCCTAATGCCCTCACTGTTCCCAGGCTTTGCACAACCCAATGGCGTCACTGCCAGGACCAGATCAAAACAGAAACATCCCAGGAGTACATATTTGAATCTCATTCATGGGAAGAATTCTCTCCCCACCCAAAGAGGCAGAAAAGAGTATTCCCTCCTGAGTCAGAAAGGCTGGACGTGTGACGTAGATGCAAGGAGCTAGTTGTCCCTTGGCACCTTCAGCCTCCCGTAGGTGATCTGCCGAGCTAGATTGGACTCTCCTTCCCCTCCTGGGGACCACTGTCCCTGTCCTTCTGAAAATGAGGGGGCTGGGGGAGATTCTCTTGTAAACCCCTCCTGCTCCCACAAGAGCAACTGAATGCCTACTATGTGCTGGCCACCGAGGGAGGACACTGGAAGAGGTGTGGCATGCTCCTTCAGTCATAAAACTTTCTTCATTCAACCAACACATATTTAATGAGCACTTACTGTGTGCCAAAACTGTTCTGGGGACTGGAAGTACAGCAGTGAATAAAACAGACAAAAAGGTGTGCCTCATGGAGCTTACATTCCAGTGGGGGAGACAGACAGATCATTAACTACAATGTACAGTGGATCAGATGGTGATAAGGGCTTAGGAGAAAAAATAAAGCTGGGAAGGAGGCTGGGGGTTGAAACTGACATTGAGTGAGAAGGGAAGCCTTCCTGGAAGAGGTGGCATTTGCATAAGGGAGAGGGCTACACGGTTATGGGATGCACATTTGGGGCAGAGAGGACAGCAGATGAGGTTCTGAGGCGAGCGTGTGCCTGGCATGTCTGAGGAGCAGCAAAGGGCCAGCGTGGCTGGAACAGAGCAGGCAGCGTGGAGCGAGACAGAAATGGGATGAAAGGGATGAGGGGGGCGGGCCATGGAGGACAGCCCTTGAGGGCACTGAGGGGACTTTGGCTTTTCCTCTGTTGCGACAGGAGCCCATGGAGAGTCATGAGCAAAGAAGAGACACAATCCGACGTGGGTTGTTTTTTTTTTTGTCCTTTTTTTGTGACCGGTAAGGGGATGCAACCCTTGGTGTGGTGTCGCCCACACCGCGCTCAGCCAGTGAGCACACTGGCCATCCCTATATAGGATCCGAACCCGCGGTGGGAGCGCCGCTGTGCTCCCAGTGCCACACTCTCCCAAGTGCGCCACGGGGCCAGTCCGTGACGTGGGTTTTAACTGGGTCGCTCCACTACTGGGATGGGGTTAGCCAGCGAGGGAGCGAAGGGCAGGAGCTGTGAGACCAACTATGAGGTTCATGGCTTGGACCAAAGTGGCATCAGAGGAGGCGGTGAGAAGTGGGCAGCTCCTGATGTGTTTTAAGGAAGGACCTATGTCACAGGCTGATGATTTTGACATCTGGCATGAGAGACAGAGAAGAGTCAAGGATGAGTTCAAGTCTTTGGACTGAACTGAAGGAAATGGCTAATGGACATCCGTGGTCAGCACCCGAGGACGTGTTCACTTGGTGAACTCGCATACGAGGAAACAACCAAGAAATATCAAGGCTTGCAAACAATCCTTGAGAACGTTTGAAGTTCTGAGAACACTTTCTTGGGATGTTCCCAGGAGGCGCATTATAGGTAACCAAGTGCTTGAGAAGGGAGGTAACGGCCTTCTGCTCTTGAGAAAAATATAACACAATTTATGCATTAATGCTTGTCTCGCATGCACAAGCTTGCTAAATGTAATAAAAGCTGTGACAGAGGTTGGGTCGGCGCTACTCGCCTGAGAGAGCAGTGGCCCCCCGCTCTTCACCTGCATCTCGTCTGCTGTGTCTTCCTTCACGTCTCCGATCATTTTAATCCACACTGAACAGTTGGAAGGACAGACTTGCCATCGATGGAGGTGGGGGAAGGCAAGGAGCAGGTGAGAGGAGGCGAATATCAGTGGCTCAGTTTGGGACATGTGACATTTGAGATGTCTTTCAGACCACCAGAGGAGATGTAATGTAGGCAGGGGGACACGTGGGAGCTGGAGGTCAGGGGAGAGGTGTGGCCTGCAGATAAAAGACTGGACGCCAGGAGAACATAGGTGTTTGGAGCCGTGAGACCCGAGGGCATGAGGGAGAGAGGTGGGCGGGAGAGCAAGCGAGTCCAGCACGCTCGGAGTTCTCAGGCTTCTGGCCCCGGTGGGCTGATACAGGGTAGCTGAGCTGTGTTTCTTCTAAGGACTGTAAAGTAGCAGGGCTGTCCTGTCACCAGGAGCAGAGTGGGAAAAACTGCCACTGGGGAATTCCTGAACTGGACTCGTTCATTGTTTCTGTTTTGATTTTAATCACAGAATGTGAGCCTAAACATTCCATGGAAAAAAAATGTTTTTCCTTTTGACTCAGTTGCCTCCTCCAGTGTGTGTGTGCGCATGTGTGCGTGTGTGTGTACACGTGCACATGCATACATGCATGTTGTATCTAAAGTCATTCGTAAAGTCAGAGGTGAAATGATGGGTTATATGTGGTTGTTCTCGTGACAGCCCAGTGCAGTGCCCTGATAAAGAGCACTCAGGAATTGCTGGGTTGGACCATATTTCCCAAATCCCAAATCAGGGTGTATTGGGGAAGGTTGGGGGAGGGTGTGACTTTCAAGTTCAAGAGGCAGGCACCCTGGAAGGTGTAGTTTAGCATTTCAGGGACATTTGCAGGTTAATGAAGATGATGGGCTGGAAAGTTTCAAATCTAGGAGGCTTTCAGAGAACTGAGTGTGCACAGTCACAGCCTGAGGGCAGAGCCCTCCCTTGCCCCTCTCCAGCAACGCTGGCCTGGAACTCCCCAGGAACATCCCGCCCAGGGCCTCCACCCTGGCCAACCCACCAGTTGATGTCTCTCTCCCCAGAAATCCATCCATATGGCTTATTTCCTCACTTTTGTGTTTACTCCAGTGTCACCTATTCAGTGAGGCCTCCCTGGACACATCTTTCTACATTGAAGCTACCATCTACCTGGGTGTTCTCTATCCTTTTCTCCTGCTTTCTTCGAGAATCTCTGTGGCTCTTCTCAATGCCTGATAAACTAAAATACTCAGGGCTTTATTGACTGTTTCTGCATCCCACCCCCATAAAGTGTAAGGAATTTTATCTGTTTATTTACTGCTGTTTCCCCAGAGACTGATCCCGTGTCTGGCATAGAATAAGCACTTAATAAATATTTTTGAATGAATCTAGAGATAACGGTAGGGTTATTCTGATTCCAGTCAAATGAGGTCTGGGTGTCTTCTGAGACTCTGGGATTTGGATCAGCCCTAAAAGGATACCATACAGCTCATAATCGCTGGATGACATTTTAAAGCTGTCCTAAAGCAAATAAAATTTCCAGGTATTCTAAAATGGGCGGTCACCTTAAAAATGCTTAAACTGCTCCGTGTCTGAGGGAGCGGCTCAGGGTTGTAAAAGACCGTCTTGGCATGACCACGGTGGAGGGGCTCAGCCACGCTGCCCTTGGCTCTCAGCCCCACCAGGATCCTGGGGAAATTCATCGTCATGGACCCTTGAGAGACCCAGCAAGAGTTCATTTCACAGTGTTAAAGGAGGAAGTTCCCATCGTGGACAACATCACAGGCGTTACCCCTCCAGACAGCACAGGACCCAGACTCACACAAATCCCCAGGCCTCTCAGAGTCTTCCCAGACTGGAGGGAGCAGGAGGCTTTCCTAATCCCACCCCACGTCAGCTCCCACCACGCATGCACGCTGCTCTGCCCCCATCGCAGCTGCAGGCTCACAGGGCTGGTGCTTTGCTGCTGATGCATCTCTTAGCCTGATGATCCCTTTATCACCCAGATGTCAGCCGTGCAACCCTGTCTTTGCTTCCGTCCTTATGCAGCTGGAACTTTCTTTTCTCTGTCCTCCTCTCAGAAACAAAACCAAGCAAGCCATGGCTTCCCAAAACACAAATGTGCTTTCTGTCTCCGCCTTATTCCTCTCAACCTCAGAAATGGGACGTCCCTGAGAGACGTCCCTTCTGTTACCCACAGCCCAAAGCCTCAGGGGCTGCACTGTTCTGGGCTCTTTGAGAGAAAAGGACCTGGAATGCAGTCTGCTGTCCCCTGCTCCCCCTTGTCCCTCACTGTCACCTGGCACATGAGGCTAAGACCCTGCTCTCTCTTCCTCTCTTTCTCACCTTTGTTCCTATTATGGATTGAAATGTGTGGGCCAACCCCGTGGCTCACTCGGGAGAGTGCGGCGCTGGGAGCGCAGCGGCGCTCCTGCTAGGGTTCGGATCCTATATAGGGATGGCCAGTGTGCTCACTGGCTGAGCGCAGTGTGGGCGACACCGAGCCAAGGGTTGCGATCCCCTTACCGGTCACAAAAAAAAGAAAGAAAGAAATGCGTTCTCCAAGAAGATGTTGGGGTCCTACCCCTTATTACCTATGAATGGGACCTTAGTTGCAAATAGGTTTTTTGAAGATGATCAAGTTAAGATGAGATCAGTAGGGTGGGCCCTAATCCAGTGTGACTGGTGTTCTTACAGAAAGGGGAAATTTGGACACAGGCACAGAAATGCGCACAGGGAGAAGCCGGGTGAGGGAGAAGAGATTGGGGTGACACATCTATAAGCCAAAGAACGCCAAATGCTGCCAGAAAACCACCAGAAGCTGGGAGAAGCATGGGACAGATCCTCCCTCACAATTTTAAGAAAGAACCAGCCTCGCTGATGCCTTGATCTTGAACTTCTGGTCTCCAGAACTGTGAGAGAATAAGCGTCTGTTGTTTACGCCTCCCAATTGCAGTACTCTGCTGTGGCAGCCACAGGAAACCGTGCAGTTCCTTTCACCTGCCCCACGCTCCCACCCTCTTGTCCCTTCTCCCAGCTCTCCTCCCCATCCTTCCCATGCCTTTCTTCTCCCAGTCTGTCTCTTTCCCTGTGTCACGCTGACCTCCTCAGTCCAGGGTCTTGAGCCTGGTTCTCCCATGACAGAGACGGC